TTAGGATCATTCTGAATCATATTTTGACCTGATGTAAACACTGTTATGCATTAAACATCTAATTTGGTCCCAGTTAACCTCTTCATAATAATTCTAATAGGTAAAACTGGTTCTATGATTAAACACCTTGTTTTAAAACATATGTAAAGAAAATCACAACTGTGGCTTCTAGATGGCAGTAACAGACCACTTGATGTTTATTTTACTGCTCTATACCAAAGAATGTAATGTAATGTTATGTAATGCATTCTGAATCCCAAACTGACATGGCATGAACACAGTTAGTGCATTTAAGATCAAATTTAGTTAAAGCTTTTCACACTTTTTACTCTGTAGATTTTTAATTGTTTTAATAAAATACAAATTTTTCATTTTATATAGTTAGAACATGCTCAATTATAGAAGGGATATGTTTATGCACACCTAAATGGCTGTAATCACATAAATAAATTACACTGTGGCCACTAGATGGCAGTAGGGGATCACTAATAGCTTATTCACTGCTCTTTTGTCATTTTTATTAAGAAGAGCTAAAATAGCCATAACTCATGAAGGAATTAAAATATCTTCACCAAACTTGTTACACATATGCAAGAGGTCAGTCTAAGGTCATAGCATAAAACTCGTAGACAATGGCCACATGATGGGGCTATACATTGTAAAATCACTGTATCTGAGTAACCATTTATCTGATTAACTTAAAATTTGACATGTCGTGTCTTTGTCTAAGGTGCCATGACTCGATCTACACATTATATCATAGGGCTGCTTATACTGGTCACTTTGACATAAAAGCGGTCACTCGAAATGTTCATTAAAAATTTGTCAATATGTAAAAATCGAAGTTGCTTCTCTGGAGTGTTTAATCAAACATTTGTTAGCTCAATCTATAAACTCTAACACTCTAATCGTATATTTCATTGGCGAATAAACTACTTACAGGCTTCCTGACTGCTATATGACCTTACCCTGATAAACTGCTTGACCCCCGTTAATTGCTGCTTGCAGCTATATTTATTAATATTATTGTTTTTCTTCTTCTTCTTTATTTATTTTTTAATGTTACTTTATTTTACATTGTATTATTATTATTATTATTACTTATTTATTTTAATGTTATTTTATTTTCCGTGTTTGATTATTATTATTACTACTACTACTACTATTATTTATTTATTGTAATGTTATTTTCCATGTTTCATTTTATTATTATTATTATTATTATTATTTTTATTCATTGATGTTAATGTTATTTTATTTTCCATGTTTTGTTTTATTAGGGGGTCAAGCGCGAAGCGCTGAAACCCTATTGTATTTGTAAGGATTTTTATTATTATTATTCTGCCAAAGTCACTATTGCCCAGACCAAACCGTAAGTCCGAGAGAGCTGAAACTTGGTCAGATGGTAGTACTCCGGTACACTACATTCTCACCGAAGATCAGCCAAATCGGCCCATAGGTGGCGCTATTGCGCCAAAACCCAATATTTTGGCCGCCATTTGTACACCGTTTGTCGTAGACTCAAAAAAATTACAAATTTGGAATCCTTGGGTCAGCTCGAACAAAAGTGGAGTGACGCAGATTTTCTCTACGTTGGACCGTTTTCCCGCTACATCGCGATTTGTCCGAAACCTACTTTTGTGAACTAGTCCTAGGTTTATTGCCCAATCTGAACCAAACCAACTCTGAAATGTTCTCTGGACACTGAATATCAATAATTATCAAAAAAAAGTTGAAATTTTTTTTCTCGCACGAAACAGTGCACAACAATGTTCGATGCTAATTGAAGCTAATTGCTAATTGTAGCTATAACTTTTGAAAGGAATGAGATATCCTCACCAAACTTGGTACACATATGTGTAAGCTTAATTTGATGTGACAGTGCAAAACCCGTGGACTTTGGCCACATGGTGGCGCTATAAAGTTTAAAAAACATAAAAATTACTCTAACCTTACAACCATTACTCCAATCAGCTTGAAATTTGGCATGCAGTGTCTTTGACCAAGTTGTCATAACATACTATAAGGACATTGGCATATCTCAAAAAACATGGCCGCCATTAGCCAATAAAAATTGAGCAGCCATTTAACAAGGTTAACGATGAGTGATCGAAACGAAACTCGCTGGGCATGTTCGACTCACGGTCTTTGAGGTTTGTAAGAATTTTGAAAGAAATCGGCCACTAGGGGGCGATTTTACGTATTTTTAGTGTGTAATGGGTTGTGTATCACACAACCTTTTGCGCAACCACACAAAATACATATCATATGATAGGCCTGCTCATACCGAACAGTTTGACACTCAAACCACTGCTCTCACTCACACCGTTCGTTAAATATTCATATATATAGGAAAAACCTACTTTTGCGAACTAGTCCCTGGTTTTTAGTTCAGTCGCGACGAAACCAGTGTTGTTAGAATCTCTGGACTGTGTAGATCAATAATTATCAAAAAAAAGTTGAACTTTTCACTTTGGCTAGCTGTAACAGGCTAATTTACAAAAGGGGCGTGTCCACACGAACCTACATGCCTGTAAACCAATGAGGAAAACTCAAAACATCACAGAAATTGGTGAGCACATGTGCCATATCAATGTGAAGAAACTTGCAAAATTTTGTGAAGATCAAACCATAGGTGGCGCTATAATAGCAAAAATAGTCTTTAAATAATGCTAAATCGCTTAAAAATAAAGTAAATTTGCTTCATTTACACACTATTTCACTAAAAACACTCAATCTATATATCATATGATAGGTCTGCTCATACTGAACAGTTTGAGACTAAAACCACTGCTGTTACTCAAACTGTTCATTAAAAAACCATCAATATAAACAAAACCTACTTTTGCGAACTAGTCCCTGGTTTTTAACTCAATCGCAACGAAACTAGTGTTGTATGAACCTCTGGACTGAGTAGATCAATAATTATCAAAAAAAAGTTGAACTTTCCATTTTAGATAGCTGTAACAGGCTCATTAACAAAAGGGGCGTGTCTACACGAACCTACATGCCTGTAAACCAATAAGGAAAACCCAAAACATCACAGAAATTGGTGAGCAGATGTGGCATATCAATGTGAATAAACATGCAAAATCTTGTGGAGATTGGGCTATAGGTGGCGCTATAATAGTGGAAATGGTTCTAAGAACATGCTAAAATGGCTTAAAAATGAAGTAAATGTACTTCATTTACACACTTTTCACTGAAATGATTTATAAGTTATTGTTTTGTCCATCTTGGATGTTTAAAGGTCTCAAAAACACATTTTCAATATTCTATCATTTTAGCCACTATAACACAGACTTTTAACTGTCACCTACCATTTCTAACCACTAGATGTCACAACAAGACCACTTATTTATTGTTCAAAACATTTGCATACCTTTGTTGTTTTACATTTTTTGAGTTTAAAGTCAGGGAAATGGCATTTAGGATCATTCTGAATCACATTTTGACCTGATGTAAACACTGTTATGCATTAAACATCTAATTTGGTCCCAGTTAACCTCTTCATAATAATTCTAATAGGTAAAACTGATTCTATGATTAAACACCTTGTTTTAAAACATATGTAAAGAAAATCACAACTGTGGCTTCTAGATGGCAGTAACAGAGCACTTGATGTTTATTTTACTGCTCTATAACAAAGAATGTAATGTAATGTTATGTAATGCATTCTGAATCCCAAACTGACATGGCATAAACACAGTTAATGCATTTAAGATCAAATTTAGTCAAAGCTTGTCACACTTTTTACTCTGTAGACTTTTAATTATTTTAATAAAATACAAATTTTTCATTTTATACAGTTAGAACATGCTCAATTATAGAAGGGATATGTTTATGCACACCTAAATGGCTGTAATCACATAAATAAATTACACCGTGGCCACTAGATGGCAGTAGGAGATCACTAATAGCTTATTCACTGCTCTTTTGTCATTTTTATTAAGAAGAGCTAAAATAGCCATAACTCATGAAGGAATTAAAATATCTTCACCAAACTTGTTACACATATGCAAGAGGTCAGTCTAAGGTCATAGCATAAAACTCGTAGACAATGGCCACATGATGGCGCTATACATTGTAAAATCACTGTATCCGAGTAACCATTTATCTGATTAACTTACAATTTGACATGTCATGTCTTTGTCTAAGGTGCCATGACTCGATCTACACATTATATCATAGGGCTGCTTATACTGGTCACTTTGACATAAAAGCGGTCACTCAAAATGTTCATTAAAAATTTGCCAATATGTAAAAAACCGAAATAGTTTTTTGGAATGTTTAATCAAACATTTGTTAGCTCAATCTATAAACTTTAACACTCTAATCGTATATTTCGTTGTCGAATAAACTACTTAAAGGCGTCCTAACTGCTATATGACCTTACCCTGCTAAACTGCTTGACCCCCGTTAATTGCTGCTTGCAGCTATATTTATAATTGTTGTTGTTATTATTGTTATTATTATTATTATTATTATTATTATTATTATTGTTATAATTTATTTTAGTGTTCTTTTATTTTCCATGTTTTATTTTATTATTATTATAATATATTTTTATTTGTTTATTTAATTTTAATGTTCTTTTATTTTCAATTTATTAATTTTTTTTATTTTAATGTATTTTTATTTTCCATGTTTATTTTATTTTTATTATTATTATTATTATTATCATTATTGTTAATATTATCATTTTATATTATTTTCCATGTTAAAGCTTTTGTTCTGTCTAAGTAACATTGACAGAAAAATAGTTACTTGTCTTAAAGGCAGTAAATGAATAATCATGCATAATCATTAATAATCATGCATAATTTAAACGTGTGTGTGTGTGTTTCCTGTACAAGTGCTTTTATGCGGAATATAAGGATGTTCAGCATCTGATTAATTTCCTGCCCTTGAGCTCTGCACGGTTTGTTTCCGTCTCTGCTTTATTCTCTTGCGTCAGTGTTAAAGCGCTGAACATGAATATAGATGTGTGTGTTTTTCAGGTTTGGAGTGTTTGAGATCCTCAGTAACCAGATGAAGGATGAGTCTGGAAAACTGGACAGCACTCGAGGTCTGCTGTGTGGTTTGGGTGCAGGAGTGATGGAGGCCGTGCTGGTCGTCTGTCCCATGGAGACTGTAAAGGTGAGATGTTTACTTATTTTTTTTTATGCTACAGAGAAATGGACTTGGCTGGCGTCATTTCCTAACTAAGGGCGTGGCCTGGGTGTGGAGTCAGTGTGGGGAAAATTCATTCATTCATTTTCCTTCAGCTTAGTCCAGAGTCGCCACAGTGGAATGAATCCCCAACTATTCCAGCATATGTTTTACACAGAGGATACCCTTCCAGCCAGTACTGCGAAACACCCATACATACTCGTTCACACAGACACACGTACACTACAGCCAATTTAGTTCATCAATTCCCTTATAGAGCATTTGTTTGGGCTTAAATGGGGAAACCGGAGCACCCGAAGGAAACCCTCACCAACACGGGGAGAACATGCAAACTCCACACAGAAATGCCAACTGGCCCAGCTGGGACTCGAACCAGCGACCTTCTTGCTGTCAGGCGACAGCACTACCCATTACCACTAAGCCCCCACTACCCACTTAGCCTCACTTAGGCTGAATGATATCAGTTTTTTTTTGGGCCACACTTTATTTAGTCTGTTTGTTGGATTTAAGTTACATTGCTTCTACATGCCAACTAATTCTCATTAGAATATAAGTAGACTGTTAGGTTGGCGTTAGTGTAAGGTAACATGTACTTGCAAAGTATCATCTAGTCCAGGGGTGTCCAAACTACGGCCCGCGGGCCATCTGCGGCCCGCAATCAGTTTTGTGGCGGCCCGCAAGGCTTTTTATAAATATCAATAGAATCTGGCCAGCCATACAAAAATTAACGTAATTCAATAAATAACCACCGGGTGTCGCTATTACATGCCTTCAATTAGGCAGCACTTCTTGTTATGAAGTAAAACTAACCGACCAACTGAAGGAAACATAATTGATAATCACATTTTAGCGAGCCCTGGTGCACCAAGAAAAAGAAAAATCAACAGTCAGTGCAGGTAGTTTCAGTCACGATGGGGCAAGGAATTTTTCTTCACAGAGATCAGCGGGAAATGTATCTGTTTAATTTGCCAGGAATCAGTTGCAGTAATGAAAGAATATAATATTAAAAGACATTATGAAACAAAGCATTAGGCCTTCAGCTCTTACACTGGTGCCGAACGAGATCAAAAAGTAAAACAATAATAATCTGCCAATGGGGTGAGCAAAAAAGTTTTTCCTTTTGACATAAGATTATTTTGCTCACCCCATTGGCAGATTAATTTGCTTGTTTTAAGGAAAAACTCACCTAATATTAGCATTTTATTTCTCAAAACAAGACAATATGTTTTGCTTGTCTAGAAAAGTTTTCTTGATTTGAGAATTTTTAGATATTTGGACTCGAGACAAAACAAAAAAATCTAAGTAAGAAAAGCATTTTCTGCAGTGTGGCTAGTTATGAGGTAGCTCAGCTAATCGAAACCCTTCACTGAAGGAGAATTTATAAAGGATGAGTGTTGCAACTGTATATTGCCCAGAGAAGATTCAAGTTTTTTTAAAAACTTAAGTCTTTCTAGAAACACAGTTGGACGACGAAATAAAATAATTCCATAATAATATACACACACACATCTATCCATTCATCCATATATACATATATATATATATATATATATATATATATATATATATATATATATATATATATATATATATATATATATATATATATATATATATATGCGTGTCTGTGTGATGTATGTAAAATTTGGCCCGGGACAACATTTTTTTTTTTGCATCTGGCCCTCGGCCCAAAAAGTTTGGACACCCCTGATCTAGTCCGTCAATTGTCTGTTATAGAATCATTATCAACAGATATTAAGCGGACTCAAATGGAGCATCAAAATAAAGGGTTACCTTTTTCCTAATTACGGCAGACCGTTAATAACAAAGCAAATCAACACCTGTTCATGTATGCTCATATTTTTAAGTTTGCTGGATTTCTCTGTAAATCAGCAATCGGGATCAACCATGAAAAATCAGGATCTGTTCATCCCTATAATATTAGCTCACAGTTCTATCCCATATTCTTCATCTCTCTCATTTCCAGGTGAAATTCATCCATGATCAAACTTCAGCAAACCCCAAATACCGAGGGTTTTTCCACGGCGTGCGGGAAATCATCAGAACTCAAGGTGAGGAACAGCACAGAGTGTGTTTAGACTGCTTCAGCTCATAGTTTTGGGTAAAATCTGCTGATTATAAAGCCTGTGCTCTGTTGACGTTTAACACGGCCAGCACTTCTCATAAAGCATTACTGACTTACATTTTGTTTTGTTGAATTTTTCTTTCATTTTTTCTTTCTATTTCTTGCTTTTCAGATGTTTTGTTTTTAACCAGATTGCCATGTATATTGTTGTGGGGATGCTTTGTTTATTTTATTATTTTATTGCAGATTATTTGAGTCGTATGTTGTTTCATTAATGTTTATTAAATGCGTTATTTTATTTTCACCTGTCCTATGTAGGGTTATGGGGGAGGTTGTTGTATTTATTTATTTTATTTTATTTAGATTTATTTTATTTTATGTTATTTTATTCAGTGTTTTTTTGTTTTGTTTTGACACTTGATTCTTATGGCTGTATTCAGGATTTTAGGGTGATCCAGATGTTCATTTTATTGCTATTTTTGTTTTAATTATAATTCTTTCCAGTTTATTACTGCAGCATTTAATTATTTTTATTTTTTGTGTATATTATCAACTGTTTATTTTATTTTATTTCTTGTAGGTAGAATCTTGGGGTTGGGGACGCTTTTTTAAAATGTATTTATTTCAGTTTTAATAATATTATTATTTTGTTGTTGTTGTGTTTTGATCCACGGGTATTTGGGGGAATATTAATTTATTTTCATTTTAATTTATTTTTATTAAAAATGTTTATTTTATATGATTTCTATTAGGTAGAATTGTGAGGATGCTAAAGCTTGTATGTATATATATATATATATATATATATATATATATATATATATATGTATATATATGTATATATGTATATATATATATATATATATATATATATATATATATATATATATATATATATATATATATATGTGTATATGTGTATATATATATACAGCGGGGAAAATAAGTATTTGACACATCAGCATTTTTATCAGTAAGGGGATTTCTAAGTGGGCTACTGACACAAAATTCCTACCAGATGTAGCCATCAAGCCAAATATTGAATTCATACAAAGAAATCAGAACATTTAAGTATACAAGTTGAGTCATAATAAATAAAGTGAAATGACACAGGGAATAAGTATTGAACACACTTTACTTAATACTTTGTAGAAAAGCCTTTGTTGGTGATCACAGCTTCTAGACGCCTCTTGTATGGAGAGACCAGTCGTCTGCATTGCTCAGGAGTGATTCTGGCCCATTTTTCCACACAAACGGTCTTTAAATCTTGAAGGTTCCTTGGGCCTCTTTTATGAACTTTGATCTTCAGTTCTCTCCATAGATTTTCTATGGGATTTAGGTCAGGTGATTGACTGGGCCATTCAAGCAACTTGATTTTCTTTCTTTGAAACCACTTCATTGTTTCCTTGGCCTTGTGTTTGGGATCATTGTCTTGCTGAAATGTCCACCCTCTTTTTATTTTCAGCTTTCTGGTAGATGGCAGCAGATTTTTATCCAGAATGTCCCGGTACATTTCTCCATTCATCCTACCTTCAATAATATGAAGTCTGCCAGTACCCCTTGCTGAAAAGCAGCCCCAAACCATGATGCTTCCACCCCCAAACTTAACTGTTGGTATAGTGTTCTTGGGGTGGTGGGCAGTGCCATTTCTTCTCCAAACATGATGTGTAGAATGACTGCCAAAAAGTTCAATTTTGCTTTCATCTGACCATACTATAGTTTCCCAATAATCCACAGGCTTCTCCAAATGCTGTTTTGCAAACTTTAACCGGGCCTCAACATGCTTTTTGTTCAGCAATGGAGTCTTGCGTGGTGAGCGTGCATGGATGCCATGGTGGTTCAGTGCATTGCTTATAGTTTTCTTTGAAACAATAGTACCCGCTGATGCGAGGTCTTCCTGAAGTTCTGCCCGAGTGGTTCTTGGCTCTTGGAGAACTCTCCTGATTATTCTTTGGACTCCTCAGACAGGGATCTTACGTGGAGCACCTGATCGTGGCCGGTTTATGGTGAACTTATGCTTTTTCCATTTCCGGATAATAGCCCCCACAGTGCTCACAGGAACATTCAGCATTCTGGAAATGCGCCTATAACCATTCCCATCAAAATGCTTTTCAACGATAAGACTACGCAGATCTTGAGAGAGTTCTTTGTTTTTACCCATCATGAAGTCTTTCCTGTGTGCCTCCTGAGTAATGAGAAGCCTTTATAGGCCATCAATTAGGACAAAAGCAGCTGATATCAATTAGTACTGAAAGGGAGCAAGGTTTTTCTCTCAATACTGACAGATCTCCTGACTTTCTATGCCATTTTGCACCTTGTTATCTTCATGTGTTCAATACTTATTCCCTGTGTCATTTCACTTTATTTATTATGACTCAACTTGTATACTTAAATGTTCTGATTTCTTTGTATGAATTCAATATTTGGCTTGATGGCTACATCTGGTAGGAATTTTGTGTCAGTAGCCCACTTAGAAATCCCCTTACTGATAAAAATGCTGATGTGTCAAATACTTATTTTCCCCGCTGTATATGTGTATATGTGTGTGTATATATATATATATATATTTATATATATATATATATGTGTGTGTGTGTGTGTGTGTGTGTATATATATATATATATATATATGCATACACACACACACACAAACATACAGTTGAAGTCAGTATTGTTAGCCCTCTGAATTATTAGCCCCCCTGTTTTTTTCCCCCCAATTTCAGTTTAATGGAGAGCAGATTTTTTTCAACACATTTCTAAACATAATAGTTTTAATAACTGATTTCTAATAACTGATTTATTTTATTTACTGCCACGATGACAGTAGATAATATTTTACTCGGTATTTTTCAAGACACTTCTATACAGCTAAAGGTGACATTATTGAGAAAAAAATAGCTTAAAGGGGCTAATAATTTTGTCCCTAAAATGGTGTTTAAAAAAATAAAGGCTGCATTTATTCTAGCCGAAATAAAATACTTAAAGAAAATACTTAAAAAAAAAATATATATATATATATATATATTTGAAGGGGGCTAATATGACTTCAACTGTATATATATATATATATATATATATATATATATATATATATATATATATGTGTGTGTGTGTGTGTGTGTGTGTGTGTGTGTGTTTTCTGTAAACCACAATATTTTGTAGAAATTATTATGAAGCCAAAAAAATATTGTACTTTTAATTGGCATTCACTGCACTCTAAAAAAAATAATGCTTGACTACTTATTTAAAAGAAGATGAAACGCCACAGTTTTATTGGAGGAGGAATTTAATAGTTTTTTGTTCAATCCCCTTAAATTTGTAAAAATTAATAAGTTAAAACTTATTTATAACTAATAGTTTATAACTAATAACTTAATTCCTTCATATTTCCCCAACACAAATCAGTTGTGGGAACCTACAGTGCATGTCTGATTTGGTCCATATAAGTGTTGTGTTTCTCCTGTTTGTTTGTTGTGTCAGGAATCAGAGGGACGTATCAGGGTCTGACTGCAACCGTCCTCAAGCAGGGATCCAATCAGGCGATACGTTTTTTCGTCATGACCTCGCTCAGAAATTGGTATAAAGGTCAGCGTTTGTTTATCTCTATAACACAGTTGAAGTCTAAATTATTCAAATATTTCCCAAGTGCTGTTGAACAGACATTGTGTTCAACACAGTTTTAGACATAATAGTTTTAATAACCTATTTTGGTAACACTTAACTTGAAGAAAAACATGATCATCATGAGGCATTCTAACTGTCATGAATATTTTTCTGTAAACATTTTCAGTGGATCAAACTGTATTTGTTTTTAAAATGTATCATTAAAATGTCTCTGTCAAATCCTTCCAAAGAGCGTCTTTAATATTAAATGACATTATTTGTTTATTTATGTAAATTTTAATTGTTTTTTTCTATTCATCATTTTTTTATTCATCATTTATTTATTTCTCTATTATTTATCTATTTAAATTTTATTTAGTTTTTTTCTAAACCACTTGGACAGATTTTTTTAGATATTTTTTATTTTATACTGTAAATTATTTATTTATTTATTTCTCATTTATTCATCTATTTAAATTGTATTTAGTTTTTTCTAAACCACTGGAACAGATAATTTTATATATTATTTATTTCATATTTTATTTATTTATTTATGTAAATTTTATTAGGTTTTTTTTTTCTAAACCACCTTATATATTTTTTTATTTTATACTTTAAATTATTTATTTATTTATTTACTTATTATCATTTATTTATTTATTTATTTAAGTTTTTTTTCTAAACCACTTGAACAGATTATTTTATATATTTTTATTTTATACTTTATTTATTTATTTAGTTATTTCTCATTTATTTATTTAAATTTTATTTGTTTTTTTTCCTAAACCCCTTGGAAAGATTATTTTACATATTATTTGTTTTAAACTTTATTTATTTATGTAAATTTTATTCCTTTTTTTTTCTAAACCTGGACAGACTATTTTATATATATTTTTATTTTGTACTTTAAATTATTTATTTATTTATTTATCATATATTTATCTATTTACATTTTATTTATTTTTTTCTAAACCACTTGAACAGATTATTTTTATATCTTTTCATTTTATACTTTTAAATTATTTATTTATTTTTATTTATTTATTTCTCATTTATTTATTTATATACATTTTATTTAGTTTTTTTTCTAAACCACTTGGACAGATTATTTTATATATATTTTTATTTTATACTTTATTTATTTATTTGCATATTTATTTATATATCATTTATTTATGTATCTAAATTGTATGCAGTTGGTTTCTAAACCATTTGGACAGACTATTTTATATATTTATTTACTCATTTATTTCACAGCAGAACTGTTGTGTTAATATTTGAGCTGCTCTGCCCTCTGCTGGACACTGAGGGTATTTACTCTCTCAGCTCTATTATTGTCACAGTGGCTGTTTTTTGTTTTGTAGGAGATAATCCTAATAAGTCCATCAACCCTGTGGTCACAGGCACGTTTGGTGCCATTGCTGGAGCGGCGAGTGTGTTTGGAAACACACCACTGGACGTCATCAAGACCAGAATGCAGGTACACTGAAGAGGAATAGCAGCACTTGTGGATGATCAGGGCTTTAGCGGCTGTTAACTTACTTTTTTATTATATTTCATTTTATATTTAATCCTTCATTTATTTATTTATTTAATTGTATTAATTTTTTTGCAAACCATCTGGATTATTTTATATACGGTTTTATTGTATACATTAATTAATTAATTAATTTTTTATTTTTTTATCATTTTTTTTTTGTTTTTTTCCAAACCACTTGGACAGATTATTTATTTATTTATTTATTTATTTATTTATTCATTCATTCATTCAATCATTTATTTATTTCTCATTTATTTATTTATTTAATTTATATTCAGTTTTTTCCAAACCACTTGGACAGATTATTTTATATATTTACTTACTTATTTACTTATTTATTTGTTTCTCATTTATTTATTAAAATTTTATTAAGTTTTTTTCCAAACCCCTCCAGACAGATTTTTTACAATTTTTTAACTTATTAATTAATTAATTCATTTATTACTGATTTATTTACAATTTATTCAGTTTTTTTCTAAACCACTTGGACAGATTTATTTTATTTATTTATTATTTATTTCTCATTTAATTATTTAAATTGTATTCCGTTTTATTTTTTAAACCACTTGGACAGATTTATTTTATTTATTTATTTAGCATTTATTTATTTATTTAAATTGTATTCCGTTTTTTTTTCTAAACCACTTGGATAAATTATTTTAAATTTTTTTATTTATTTATTTACTTACTTTGTTAGTTACTTATTTATTTCTCATTTGTTTATTTATTCAAATTTTATCCCGTTTTTTTTAAACCACTTAGATTATTTTATAGATTGTATTATTTTATACTTTATGTATTTATTTGTTTATTTATTTATTTATTTCTGAGCCATTTGACCCTTACTGGAGTTTTTTATTTATTTAGTTTTTAGTTTGTTTTTTGGACAGACTATTTTATTTATTTAATTTTTATTTTAATAATTTTGATTATACATTTATAATCAAATATAAATCAAATATAAATTATAATTTTGTTCTAAATCGCTTGGCCTTGCTGCCACTTGCTGAATAGTTGTTTTATTTTATTTTATTTTATTTCAGCTATTTTAAGTTAAATTTTATTTAAGTTGTGGGGATTCGGAAGTGTAATTTTTATTTAATTAAATTTAGTTTTGTTTACTATTGTTATTGTTATTATTATTTTTATTGTTTAAGGTTTATTTTATTTTATATTCTATGTTTTCCTTTATTAAAATTGTCAATATGTAATATTTGAAGTTTTAATGAAAATTACATTTGTTTGTAGGGTTTGGAAGCTCACAAGTATAAAAACACGATGGATTGTGCCATGAAAATCATGCGGCACGAGGGACCAGCAGCGTAAGTGTGTCTGTCTGTGTGTAAGTTTAAGTATTAAAATAGTTCTTATTGAAACTAATAATAAGAAAAAAGTTGACAAAAACCCAGGGAAACATTTAAATGAACCTGACAGGACAATAACAACAAATCTAACTCAACCCGAACTGAGATATTAAATTTCATAAAAAAAAGGTTTAAGCCTATTAATAAGCTAACAATTAAATCTTAAACTAATAAAAAAAATATGTTAAACATATTTGTTCTGTGTTTTTGCTTCAAGTAATTATGCAAATACATAAAACAGTTTCTTAATAATAAATTATTAAAATATATTGACATTTCAGACGCATTTCACTTCAATATCTCACATATTTGTTGCTTTTAAAAACAATTAATTAATGCTTAATAATTTAATCATAATAATATCAAATGTCTTCACTTGTATAATAATTATCATGATGATAAATTACTGAAATGTCTTTAACTCTCACAGAGACTTGATGTTAATAATTAAGCTCAAAGGGGTCATTAAAAAACAATTATAAATGAATACGTTTCATTCAAACATGTAAACAAAGTCCATCCCGAATGCTTATTAAAATATTTGAGATATAGTTATGTTTAATGGAATTATAATACATTTGCATTTAGTCATTTAGCAGACGCTTTAACAATTGTGCAGTGACTCCAAGTACATATTTGAACTCACAATGGGTCGTCTGATGTTGGGAATCACAGCTGTATCTGTACTTCAGTGTTAAAGTGTGTGTGTGTGTGTGTGTGTGTGTGTGTGTGTGTGTGTGTGTGTGGGGTCTGGTGCAGGTTTTATAAAGGCACCGTGCCGCGTTTGGGTCGAGTGTGTCTGGATGTGGCCATCGTCTTCATCATCTATGAGGAGGTGGTGAAGATCCTTAATAAAGCCTGGAAGACAGACTGAAGAAGAAGAAAGAGGAGGAAGAAGATAAACGAGAAGAAGAGTAGAAGACATGTCACAGTGTGAACGTTCGATTTCATATTAGTTCTGCATTCAGACATCCTCTAATTATTTTAATAATATTTACTAGAGCTGGGAAAAAGATTAATCGCATCCAAAATAGTTGGTTTTGACATAATGTGTGTGTGTGTGTGTGTTATATGTATTTATTATGTACATGTGATACACATGCACAGAAACAAAAATATATAAAACTAATTTATTACATGGATTTTTAAATGTGTATATATATAATTGGTATCATTTTACACACATGTTTTATATCCAGGGGTGTCACGGTGGCGTAGTGGGTAGATTTGTCACCTCACAGCAAGAAGGTCACTGGTTCCAGTCTCAGCTGGGTCAGTTGGCATTTCTGTGTGGAGTTTGCATGTTCTCCTCGTGTTGGTGTGGGTTTCCTCCGGGTGCTCGGGTTTCCCCCACAGTTCAAAGACGTGCTGTAGGCGAATTGCGTAAGCTAAATTGTCCGTAGTGTATGTGTGTATGTCCTGGTCCTCCAGGTTAGGGGTTGAGCGTCGGGTTAACAACCCACCTTATTAAAACTAGATGTTACGAAACACCAATTTGGTGCGGCTAAATATCAACTTCGATATAAACGGCCTGTGAGTAAGTATTTTAAATCTAAATTTTAGTAAATATTTTCACAAATAAAAGCATGCATGTGTGTGTTTATATATGCATAATAAATATATTTAACACGCATATATATATATATATATATATATATATCAACAAACAAACTTTTATTTTGGATGCAATTAATCGGACAGAACTAATATTTACAAAATCCTCTCCCTCTGCAGTCTCATGAACAGATTTACTTGACTATAAATAGATGGTTTAATTAGTAGATTGTAGTACACAAACATATGTGTGCGTTTACAAATGTTTGCACTGAAGCAAACGCAGAACTCGGAAAATCTTGAGCCAGATTAATATTCTAATAAATTATTAATATAATAATAAATGTTTTAACCAGAGAAAAGGGTAAAAATTGGGTAAGAAAGTGGGAAAATTTGATATATTATGAATATTTATTGATATATTTACACTCCATACAGAGACAAAATTAACTTTACATTTTTATTTTATGGATATTTTTAATCAGTTGCCTTATGTAGGGTCCAGGGATACCAGAGCATTTTATTTGATCTTTTTGAGAAAAAGAAAGATTTTGCAAGCATCTGTTTTAGCCATTATTTTAAGTTTACGAGGCTGCTGGACATTTGATTTTACTTCATTTTATCTTCCATGCATTGTTCTACACAATATTCAGTTATGAGGGTGCTAGATTTTATTTTATTTGTTTTTATTCATTTTATTTTGTTTAGTTCATTTTAATTTATTCTTTTTAATTTGGTTTTAAATTATTTTATTTTTATCCATGCACTTGTTTTATTTCATTTAATTTTATCTTATCTTTTTTGTTTTATTTATTTTTTTAATTCCTCTATTTTTTTATTTTATATTTTGTTGTTCTTAATTCACTTGTGTTTAGTTTTTTTATTTAGTTTAGTTTTATTTTGTTTTTATTTATTCCATTTTGTTTTGATTTTCATTTTGTTTTGTTTTATTTTATTTTTATATTGTTTTATTTTATTTTTCATGCACTTGTTCAACACAATATACAGTTATAATGGTGCTAGCCCTATAATATACATTATAACTGTCATTTTATTTTATTTGTTTTTATTTATTCCATTTTGTTTTGTTTTTTTATTTAATTTTGTTTTATTTTTAATTTAACTTTATATAATTTTATTTTGTTTTCCATGCAGTTGTTCTACACTATTCAGTTATAAGGGTGCTAGATTTTATTTTATTTTTTCATTTCATTTGTTTTTATTTATTCCATTCCATTTTGTTTTGGTTTTTAATTTAATTTTGTTTTATTTTTAACTTTATATGATTTTATTTTTTCATGCAGTTGTTCTAGACTATTCAGTTAGGCGGGTGCTTTTATTTTATTTTATTTCATTTTAATTTTTTATTTTAATTTTTTTTTTACATTTTTTTTTTATTTTATTTTCCATGCACTTGTTCTACACATTGTTCAGTTATGAGGGTGCTTTTATTTTATTTTTATTTTTTTTTGTATTATTTTTTATTTTGTTCCATTTTGTTTTGTTATTTTTATTTAGTTTTGTTGTATTTTATTTCACTAGTCTTTATTATATTTTGCTTTGTTTTATTTAATTTTTAATTTTTTTTATTTTCCATGCCTTTGTTCTACACAATATTCAGTTATGAGGGTGCTTTTATTTGATTTCATTTCATTTGTTTATTTATTTGTTTTTATTTAGTTTTATTTTATTTGAGTCTTTTTTTGCGTAGGGTTTAGAGATGCTGCTGCTTTTTCCATTTTATTAGATCATACTTTATTGTGAATTTACCTTATGTAGGGGTGTGGGCATAGCAAATAAATATCCTAAAGAAAAGTTAATTACAGTAATTGTATTTAATGTTAGTGTGAATATTTAAACCAGATAAAAGTGGGTATATTGGGGTTATATAAATACTTACAGACGTATTTACAAATATAGATCAACTAAACTTCAGATCATTCCATAATCCTCTATTAAAATTATTATTAAATCTTTATTTTTTTAATGATTCAGACAGTTCTACTAAAAGCCTTTGTTTATATCTAAAGCTAATATTCTTTTTTACATTTATTAAACCATTTTATTCATCGATTTGAGTATATCTTATATTTATTTTCCTGCTGTATTGCACATGTGCCTTTAACCATTAAACTCCATTAAACATTACATTTTTATCTGAAAAACGCACATTATTTACAGTTTTTTATTCAAATTATTCTGAATTTAATGATCATTTAGTCAGTTTTGAAGCCTTTTCCTCATGTCCTGCTGTATTTGTCCATGTGCAATATCAGATGTGTTATTAGATATAGCTGGAAATACAGATAGCTGCTGCCATTGACACAAACGTACTGTAAAAGTGACACTGAGCAGATCTAAATATGCATTAATTCAGTATAAACTCTTCAGTTTTTACAGCATGAATCTCCAGCTGTCCGTGTTTGACTGTCTAATACAGTAGTGTCATGTAATGTTCATATTAATCATATATGTGCAATGCTGCTGCTGGCCGACAGAGGGCAGGATTCAGCATGGAGGTGTCTTTCTCTGTTTCTGTGTGTTGTTTGGGACATTATTAGCAACATGATTGTCTGTGCCAAGTACGTTGTTGCCTTTCTGTGTAAATCTGGAGTGAAGGGTTAATACTAGAGGCTAATGTGCTAATAAAATTATTTCATTTTCACAGTTAAATCAGCAGTCTGTGACATAATTGTCCTTGTGTTGATGGCTTTTAGTTTTTACAGAAAAACACATCAGAAACTGAAGTTCTGAAGACAAAATTAAAAAAAATATTGAAGTAAAAAGCCAAATAGGCTACAGATTCATAATAACCCACAATTGACAATAGCTTTTACGTTTTTCACTGCTTTTAGAGACGTCGTTAAAATAAGTTTGTTCGTGAAAACCTTACAGAAATGGGGGAAATTCTGACAACCTGTATTTATGGATGAAGAACATGTCGTTAAAATTATTATTAAATATATAGTTTCAGTCAACATGTAATGCAAATGTACTCTTCCTAATTTTATATGTATATAGTACTCTGTATCTGTACACTTCAGTCACTCTAATCTGACCTCATAATCTTTCATGAATCGCCATAACCTGCCCTGCGCTCTTGAAAGACTTTTCTTCACTTCTGGTCACATGGAAAGTTTTTAAGGTGGGACAATCTTTTTGGGTGGGACTATTACATGCATAATTTAGAGCGGGACTAACAGACCTTTAGGGCGGGACTTTCTGTCCATTAGGGCGGGGCTATTGGTCTTTCTTTTGAAGCGAGACTAACAGTCCTTTAGGGCGGGACTATCTGTCCATTTGGGTGGGGCTTTTTTCTTTAATTTAGAGCGGGACTAACAGACCTTTAGGGCGGTGCAATTGGTCTTTCTTTTGAAGCGAGACTAACAGTCCTTTAGGGCTGGACTACCAGTCTTTTAGGGCAGGGCTACCTGTCCATTAGGGTGGGGCAATTGGTCTTTTAGAGTGGGACTAGCAGTCCATTAGGGCGGGGCTATTGGTCTTTCTTTTGAAGTGAGACTAACAGTCCTTTAGGATGGGGCTATTGGTCTTTAATTTAGAGCGGGACTAACAGTCCTTTAGGGCAGGGCTATCTGTCCATTAGGGCGAGGGTATTGGTCTTTTAGAGCGGGACTATCTGTCTTTTAGGGCAGGGCAATTGGTCTTTTAGAGTGGGACTGGCAGTCCATTAGGGCGGGGCTATTGGTCTTTAATTTAGAGCGGGACTAACAGTCTTTTAGGGCAGGGCTATCTGTCCATTAGGGCGGGGCAATTGGTCTTTTAGAGTGGGACTAACAGTCGTTTAGGGCGGGAATATCTTTCCAATAGGGCGGGGCTGTTTTCTTTAATTTAGAGCGGGACTAACTGTCCTTTAGGGCGGGACTATGTCCATTAGGGCGGGGCTATTGGTCTTTTAGAGCGGGACTACCAGTCTTTTAGGGCAGGGCTATCTGTTCATTAGGGCGGGGCTATGGGTCTTTCTTTTGGAGCGAGATAAACAGTCCTTAAGAGTGGGACTATCTGTCCATTAATGCAGGACTAATGGTCTTTAATTTAGAGCGGGACTAACAGTCGTTTAGGGCGGGGCTATCTGTCCATTAGGCCGGGCTATTGGTCTTTTAGGGCGGGACTACCAGTCTTTTAGGGTGGGGCTATCTGTCCATAAGGGCGGGGCTATAGGTCTTTCATTTAGTGTGGCACTGACAGTTTTTTAGAGTGGGAGTATCTGTCCAATTAGGGCGGGGCTATTGGTCTTTCATTTAGAGCGAGACTAACAGTCCTTTAGGGCAGGGCTATCTTTTAGAGCCGGATTAGCAGTCCTTTAGGGTGAGACTATCTGTTCATTAGGCCGGGGCTATTGGTCTTTTTTTTGGGGTGGGACTATCTGTCCATTGGGTCTTTCTTTCAGGGTGTCAGTCCATTAGGGTGGGGCTATTGGTCTTTCTTTTAGGGCGGGACTAACTATACTTTAGTGTTTCTCACTCT